TTTGGTTGTGCCTTGTCCTTTTTCCTTCTTCTTCTTGGCCTCCATCTTCTGGGTGATGTTGGCATTTTTAGATTGGTTTAGAGTAGAAGCTCACTGTCTAACATAGGTGATGGGTATTGGGAAGCTGTGGTAAATAATGTACACATAGTTTTTAGTATAAAAAGATAACAACACTCTGAGGTGGTCAGAGTGCCTCTGTCTGTCCTGCTGAGCAGACCTCAGCAGGCCAGGAGAAAGAATTTTATAGATAAAGTACAAGAAACAACCTTGAGAATGAGAACTGAAGAGCTCTGACTCCTTCAACCACTGGGCTGGGAAAAGAGACTTTCTAACACATCTTGGGGTCACTCTGAGCGCCAGAGATTCTGAGAATCTTGGGCACTGCCAGCCTGGGGCTCCAGCTGAGTCCTGGTAACCATGACAGTGCAGGATTTAGCCTTGACTGTAACCAAAACCCTTCAGCCAAAGGTTTAAATCACTCAGCTCCCCAGTCTGGGAAAGCCCAGAAATGACAGACTGATGTAGGAGATACGGGATTGTAGTCAAACCCAAACAGAACAGCGTGCCTGGTTACCAGCCTGCCCTGCTTTCCTTCAGTCCTTGCTGGAATGAAGCTCCTGTGGCTGTCACCCAGAGGCATTTCTTTGGAAAATGACAAGGCAGCCACAGCAGCACGTGCCCAAAGCCATCCCTGCTCACCAGTGACCTGCTGACTGCAAAAGGCTGAGGCAAAACCCCAGGAGACTCCAACTTTAGGGCCCCTGTGGAAGAGGAACCAAAGTAATTCTGCTGAATTACTCTGTTCTGATGAACACAGCAGATTTTGGGAAATGCTGGCTGTGTGCAGCAGGTCTGGGATGTGTCAGGATTCCAAAGGCTGGGGAGCATTCAGAGGGAGAGCAGAGCCTCTGAAAGCCTCCAGGAAGCATGTGCAAGGCAGGAGGAGAAGCTGAGAGCAACCAAAGCCACAGAGAGTCTGTGCAAGGTGTTTGTGATGGCCCTGGAGGTGTTTGTGATGCCCCTGGAGGTGTTTGTGATGGCCCCTGGAGGTGTTTGTGATGGCCCTGGAGGTGTTTGTGATGCCCTTGGAAGTGTTTGTAATGCCCCTGGAGTGTTTGTGATGGCCCTGGAGGTGTTTGTGATGCCCCTGAAGGTGTTTGTGATGCCCCTGGAGGTGTTTGTGATGCCCCTGAAGGTGTTTGTGATGGCCCTGAAGGTGTTTGTGATTCTCCTGAAGGTGTTTGTGATGGCCCTGGAGGTGTTTGTGATGACCCTGAAGGTGTTGGTGATGCCCCTGGAGGTGTTTGTGATGCCCCTGGAGGTGTTGTGATGGCCCTGGAGGTGTTTGTGATGACCCTGAAGGTGTTTGTGATGCCCCTGGAGGTGTTTGTGATGCCCTTGGAGTGTTTGTGATGGCCCTGGAGGTGTTTGTGATGGCCCTGGAGGTGTTTGTGATTCCCCTGAAGGTGTTTGTGATGGCCCTGAAGGTGTTTGTGATGGCCCTGGAGGTGTTTGTGATGCCCCTGAATGTGTTTGTGATGGCCCTGAAGGTGTTTGTGATGCCCCTGGGGGTGTTGTGATGGCTCTGGAGGTGTTTCTGATGCCCCTGGAGGTGTTTGTGATGCCCCTGAATGTGTTTGTGATGGCCCTGGAGTGTTTGTGATGGCCCTGGAGGTGTTTGTGATGCCCCTGGAGGTGTTTGTGATGGCCCTGAAGGTGTTTGTGATGGCCCTGAAGGTGTTTGTGATGGCCCTGGAGTGTTTGTGATGGCCCTGAAGGTGTTTGTGATGGCCCTGAAGGTGTTGTGATGGCTCTGGAGGTGTTTGTGATGCCCCTGGAGGTGTTTGTGATGCCCCTGAATGTGTTTGTGATGCCCCTGAAGGTGTTTGTGATGGCCCTGAAGGTGTTTGTGATGCCCCTGGAGGTGTTTGTGATGGCCCTGAAGGTGTTTGTGATGCCCCTGGAGGTGTTTGTGATGCCCTGGAGGTGTTTGTGATGGCCCTGAAGGTGTTTGTGATGGCCCTGGAGGTGTTTGTGATGCCCCTGGAGGTGTTAGTGATGCCCCTGGAGGTGTTTGTGATGGCCCTGGAGGTGTTTGTGATGCCCCTGGAGGTGTTTGTGATGACCCTGAAGGTGTTTGTGATGCCCCTGGAGGTGTTTGTGATGGCCCTGAAGGTGTTTGTGATGGCCCTGGAGTGTTTGTGATTCCCCTGAAGGTGTTTGTGATGGCCCTGAAGGTGTTTGTGATGGCCCTGGAGGTGTTTGTGATGCCCCTGAATGTGTTTGTGATGGCCCTGAAGGTGTTTGTGATGGCCCTGAAGGTGTTTGTGATGCCCCTGGAGGTGTTTGTGATGCCCCTGGAGGTGTTGTGATGCCCTGGAGGTGTTTGTGATGGCCCTGAAGGTGTTTGTGATGCCCCTGGGGGTGTTGTGATGGCTCTGGAGGTGTTTCTGATGCCCCTGGAGGTGTTTGTGATGCCCCTGAATGTGTTTGTGATGGCCCTGGAGGTGTTTGTGATGGCCCTGGAGGTGTTTGTGATGCCCCTGGAGTGTTTGTGATGCCCCTGGAGGTGTTTGTGATGGCCCTGGAGGTGTTTGTGATGCCCCTGGAGGTGTTTGTGATGCCCCTGAATGTGTTTGTGATGCCCCTGAAGGTGTTTGTGATGGCCCTGAAGGTGTTTGTGATGCCCCTGGAGGTGTTTGTGATGGCCCTGAAGGTGTTTGTGATGCCCCTGGAGGTGTTTGTGATGCCCCTGGAGGTGTTTGTGATGCCCTGGAGGTGTTTGTGATGGCCCTGAAGGTGTTTGTGATGGCCCTGGAGGTGTTTGTGATGCCCCTGGAGGTGTTAGTGATGCCCCTGGAGGTGTTGTGCTCTCTCCTGTTTTGGGTACCATGCCAGGGACATTACCTGAAATGCAGCTTTCCTGCTGCCTGTGCTGCTAACTCAGGCTCAGAGACACTTGCTCTGGGGAGTACAGAAATGACAAGACAATTCCAGAGATACATAAGCACAACCTTCACACAGAGGTTTTTTTAGAGTTTTAGGAAGAAAACCAGTACAAAATCCAGGGTCAGGGAGAGAGGAGATGGAGATGGGGAAGAGCTCGTGTCTGGTTCCAAGGCAAGTGTGTAAAATGTGAGAATCACAGACTCCCAAGGGTTTGGGGTGTGTTAGCTCAGCATCCTGGTGTTTGTGCAGGAGCTGAGCAGTGAGCAATGAGCCCAACTTTCCTTTCCTGGGGGGAGCAGGTTGGGAGCACTCAGAGCAGCTTTCCTGGGGACTTCATCCTGCCCAGACATGACACTGCAGATCCACAGAAGCAAACAATCCTCCTCACATCCCTGCAGCCACAAAGGCCTCTGCAGCACCTCAAGGCAGTGCTTCATTCCTCTGCAGGGCCTGGCCAAGGCTGGGTCCCATCCCAGGCCCTGTTCCCAGGTGCTGTGGGACACAAACACCAAACTCAGGCTCTGCATCCCAGGAGCTGCTCTGGGGCAGCCCCAGCCCTCCCTGCTGTGGCTGCAGTCATGTTCCTGCTGGAGGAGGGGGGCTCAGGGCTGTTCCTGGGGCTCAGGCAGGAGCTCCAGCACACCCAGCAGTGACCAGAGGTGGGAAGGGAACAAGAATTTCCGTGCCAGTGGAAGATGTGGAAGCTGACCCTTTTTCACTCAGCTTCCATGACCTGTGCTGTGTTCTGCAGGTAAACCAGGGTGTGTTCCTGACTCACCCACCCTCAGCTCAGCCTGGGGCATCCTCACAGCAGCTCCCACCCAGCTCTGCACTCCCCTCTTCATCTGATTCATGTTCACAGGACATACCTTGCCTGGATGGGAGAACACATCAAAGACCATTGCTCCTGCTTGCTCTGCCTGCAGTTGACATGACAGGACATGTGCCTCGTGACAGGTTAAGGAGGGCACATTTTGGGGAAGGGAAACTTTCTGACAGCTCATCCCTAGAAGGCAGGCAGGTAATTGTACTCCCAGTGGGCTCCATCCTCACCAGGAAAAGGCAGCGCCTGACTTTGGTCACGATTTGGTAATTTACAGCAGAAAAAAGCCCAGCAAAAGGAGCAGTGGAAAGAGCAGTGCTGGACTGCCCCCAAAGAGTGATGCAAAGTCTGCCACCCAAAATAAGCACAGGAGATGGAGCCTGGTCAATTGACATTTGGCATCTCTGGGTGTCGCTTGCAAAAGTCCCAGAGAGACCAACCAAAGGCATCCCAAGGGAAGGCTTCCCTCTGCCAGGAGAGCAGCCTGCATGGCCAGGAAATGCCCCTCTGGAGGCATTTTATAGACTACAGGTTTCCAAGTGTGCAATAGTTCTCAATCTTCTTAAACAGTTCTCAGTTTTCTCCTCCCAATGCCTTGCACAGCATCCCAAGCCTTAAAACCAGAAGAAAATAATGAAAAGGGAAGGGCATGTTTTCTCTCCAATCCCTTATGCTCTCCACCTGTCCCACATCCTTTCCTAATCCTTGCTTCTTCACAGAAAAGGGATTTCAGGAGCATTATAGGATGCTGGAAGGGAGAGAGCCAGCCCTGTAAACTCCCCACCTGAGGGTGAGCAGACAGGTGAGAGCTTTTACTGACAAAGACTGAGTGAAGACAAGCACTGTCCACCCAACTCTTCATCATTATTGGAAAGAACACATATCAAGACATCCACAGTTGAAGCTATGAAAGACATAAACACCTCTCCTTTCAAAGGCCCTTACTCAAAACTGAACTGGGATGCAATAAATCAGCCCCCACATTCACACAGAAAACCAAAAAAAAAAAAAAATTAAAAAAAATAAAGAAAAGAAAGAAAGAAAGGAAGGAAGGAAGGGGAAATTTAGATTAGTCACAAAGAAGTTCCCCCGCCTGCTTCTGTGTGCATAAAGCAATCTCCTGAAGGCTCTGCCTTCACTTCATCTCTGCTCTGGACAGGAGCTCCCAGCCCTGCTCCCTGCCAGGCCCCTGGCCCTTCCCAGCACTGGGATGGAAGGAGGGGCTGGGATGGACGGACAGACGGACGCAGGGGCAGGAGCAGGGCAGCAGCTGGAGCAGCAGAGGGAGGGTGCAGAGGAGGAGGGGAGGCTCTGGCAGGGAGGCCAGGCCAGGAGCTCGCTGCACCTCGTCTCTGCTGTGGCTCAGTGGGTTTTGCTGCTTGCCTGCCTGATCTACCTGGGAGTGCATTTCCTGCGGCCCTCCAAGGTAAGAGCTCATCTTCCACCTCTGTCTGCTGGCCTGAAAAGCTTTCCATGGGCTTCTTTGCTTTTTTTTTTTAAAAAGAAAAAAGCTTTTAAGTTTATCCCTATCCCTATTCAAGATTCAATCCCTTCTGTATGATAGTATATTTTTTTAATTTTTTTTTTCATTTTAATTGCCTGTCTTCAAAATGACATTCAGTGTTGCCCAGTGCAGGGTTTGGGCCCAAGTTTCCAGCAGAGTGACCATTCCAAGAATGCTTTTTACACTGACCCCTGGGGAGAGAGGTCTCACTCCCTCCCACTCTCGCCCCTCTCTGCAGTGACTTGTGCATATTTCTATTTAACTGAATAGCACTGAGTGAATGACAACCCAGTGTGCTCATAAACTCCTCCTGAACTTCCAGAGTGTGCTAGATGGCAAGCAGATGTGTGAAAAAGCAAGTCACCCTTGTGACAGCTCTAGCAAGACCTCCTGACACCTTTGGTGCTCTCAGCCTGCCCATCAGGCAGGGTTAGGAGCAGCCACCTCCTTCTGTGCCTGCCTGAGCAAGGCTGGGGTGTCCAGAGAGAGTTCTCTGTGCCCACCAAAGCACCAGAGCAAGCAGGACAAAGGACAGAAATGCTTGGGGCTCACAGTGCTCCAGCACAAGCTCAGCAAAGATGGGTTTGCCTCTCTCACATGCTTGCAGGCTGCTGGATTGTCAACAACCTCTTACTGCTGCTTCAGAGCTGCTGGTGCAGCAGCAATTTCTCCTCCCACTCCTCCTCCAGGAGCTTTGCACCACTTTAAAGCTTGTTGTGCTTTGTTTTACCCCAGTTCCTTCTCTCCTCCCAGCCAGGCTGGGCACAGAAGGAAGCCAGGCATGTGTCCATGCTCCTCATGCTGCTCAATGAAAACCCTGTGCTCTGCACAGCTGTCACTGACTTGAGGCTCACAGGGGCTATTAAACTGCAGAACAACCATCCAGATAACACTGAAAGATAACATTTATCAACCAACACTTATCAACCACATCAGTCCTCTGCTCCTTCCCCTGCCTTGGGAGAGAGGAGTTGCACTGCAAGGCAGCAGAGGAGTGCACACAATCACAGTGCTCAGGGTGCAGAAACCTCTCCCAGCTCACACTCTGAGCATCTCCCAGCATCTGGCTCCTCTGTAAAAATGCTCCTCTTCCAGAGGAAGAGAGCAGGGCCTGGCATTGCTGCCTGGGAGCCTGACAAACCCAAGGGAGCAGCAGCAGCCCAGGGGACACAGAACCTGTCTGGAGCTTCCCCTCCTCAACAGAAATAACTGAAACAGGGGGCTCCAGGAGCAGCAATGGCAACAGATGAGAAATCCAGGTCCTGAGAATCACCAAAGGACCTTTTCAGTTTTAAACACTTGCTAACTACAGGCTTAGGACTATTATTTCTGTTATTTTAACAGATAACCCTGGTGTCCTGTTTGGAGTGCCCTGCTCTGTGCAGGAGTGGTGCATGGGGAGATTTCACTGCAGTGCAGTCACAGGGCTCAGCTGGAAAACCATGAACTGGCCACATAAATGTCTCCTGGAGGGGCAGCAGCTCAGATCTGACTGGGCTTTTGGGGCAGTTTAGGGATATTTATGAAATCAAGGGCGCAGCAGTGTGAGAGAGGCAGGCTTGGGGTGCTGGCCCATGGGGTGAATGAGTGGCTCTCCCTGTCCTTGGGAAGAGCCTCCTGCCCTCCAAGGTGCAGAGTGCCATGATAACTTTATTTGCAAGGGAATAACTGTGGTTTTTCACAGAGAGACTGTATTTGATTCCTTTCCATTGTCCTCGTGGAAACACAGTTCTTAAAAAAAGCCCTCCTGCACTGTTCTGTGAAAACAGAGCATGAATAATATCATGGCCCATCCTCAGTACAGGCACCATCTGCAGCTTAGACTGTGCTGAACAAAATGGACAATGATCTCATTTCTGACATGATACTGCTTGGAGAACAAACCTCAGCTGAGATTTCCAAATGAGGAAGTTAATAAAAAGGTCACTGATAATCTGCTTTTGCATCTGCAATTCCCACTCTGCTGGAATTGCCTTCTCTTGCCACAGCTTTCCTCTTGCTTGGGAGGTAAAATCCCTGATCCTGGTGAGGAGAAGGTACAACCCCACTTCCAGGGGAGTGTCACCTGCCACCTGTGGGACACCTCCACCTCCACGTGTGACACAGGCCCTCAGTCAGCCCCTGAGGTTTGTGTTGGTGCGATCCAAACTTATTCCTGAAACTGGAGCCAGGTGGGATGGCCCTGGACGGTATCCCAGCCAGGAGAGTCCCCTGTTCAGGGATCCAGAGCAGGAAGGAAGGGTCTGTGTGTAAATGGCATGGGGAAACCTGAGGCTGTCAGGGAGAAGCACCTCTGTGTCCTCAGCCCTCCTGGCACACTTTCCACATGGCCTGTGAAGGCAGAGCAGAGAAACAGAGGTCACTAACTTTGCTGTGAGCCCCAGAGTCCTTCCAGTACCACCAGTACATGGTGTCCTCAGCAGGATTCACCAGTGGGTACCTGCACAGTGCTCTGAGATCACACAATAACTGCAAGAGATACATAACACAGGCAATTTGCTTTAGTGACAATGGGGTTGATATCAGTGCAACAATGCTGTCCCCCGGGCTGTCAGTGCTGGAGACACCCTGTCCATCAGTGTTGGAGACACCCTGTCCATCACTGATCACACAGATGGTGGCAGACCTTGTGTGATCCCACACATGTGCTATGTGCTTTGCGCTTGTCTTGTTGAGAATCTGGAAATCCCGGCTGTGTGAGCCAGGAGGGAAATGCTTGTGCACTCAGGAGGGAGATCAAGCGTGAGATTGGAGCTGAGGCAATGGGAAAGGACGGTGATGCCAAGGGAGGCAGTTCCAGCTACTCACGGGCGATGAATCTTGTGTTTGCCCGCGGTCTCCAGCCCCGCGGACACGGAGCAGCAGCCGTGGCAGCACTAGAGGGTGCCAGAGCAGCTTTTCCAGCTCCAGCTCCCACCGCAGCCGGCACGGAGCGCTCCCAGCTCCCGCAGCCTGCCCCTGCCTGGCCCCGAACCTGCAGAGAGGCCGTGCTCACACCCTGCACACACCCTCTGTATCACACCCTGCACACTGTGTGCTCACACACTGCACACACTCTGTACTCACACCCTGCACACACACTCTGTACTCACACCCTGCACACACCCTCTGTATCACACCCTGCACACTCTGTGCTCACACACTGCACACACTCTGTGCTCACACACTGCACACACACTCTGTATCACACCCTGCACACTGTGTGCTCACACCCTGCACACTGTGTGCTCACACCCTGCACACACCCTCTGTATCACACCCTGCACACTGTGTGCTCACACCCTGCACACTCTGTGCTCACACCCTGCACACACACACTGTGCTCACACCCTGCACACACACTCTGTATCACACCCTGCACACTCTGTGCTCACACACTGCACACACTCTGTACTCACACCCTGCACACACACTCTGTACTCACACCCTGCACACTCTGTGCTCACACACTGCACACTCTGTGCTCACACCCTGCACACTCTGTGCTCACACCCTGCACACACACTCTGTGCTCACACCCTGCACACTCTGTGCTCACACACTGCACACTCTGTACACACACCCTGCACACACACACTGTGCTCACACCCTGCACACTCTGTGCTCACACACTGCACACTCTGTGTTCACACCCTGCACACTCTGTACTCACACACTGCACACTCTGTACTCACACCCTGCACACTCTGTACTCACACCCTGCACACTCTGTGCTCACACACTGCACACACACTCTGTATTCACACCCTGCACACTCTGTACTCACACCCTGCACACTGTGTGCTCACACACTGCACACTCTGTACTCACACACTGCACACACACACTGTGCTCACACCCTGCACACTCTGTGCTCACACACTGCACACACTCTGTGCTCACACCCTGCACACACACTCTGTGCTCACACCCTGCACACTCTGTGCTCACACACTGCACACTCTGTGCTCACACCCTGCACACTCTGTACTCACACACTGCACACACTCTGTGCTCACACCCTGCACACTCTGTGCTCACACCCTGCACTTTCCCTGTCCCCCTGTGCCACCGAGCCTGAATCCATGGAAGCCAGCCCAGTCCACATCTCATGGGCACAGCTTCTCCCTGTGACACTGAGCCCAAACCCATGGAAGCCAGCCCAGTCCCCATCTTCTCCCTGTGACACTGAGCCCAAATCCAGGGAAGCTAGCCCCATCCCCACCTTGTCCCTGTGCCACCAAGCCCAAATCCAGCCCAGTCCTCATCCCATGGCACACCTTCTCCCCTAGGGAGCCTTTGGCACAGGTAAGGAGAAGAACACAAGAGTGCAGAGCCCAAGATTCACTCTTTAATCAGGCCAAAGGCTGAAGATTTGTGGTTGTGTAGAGACTGCAGATTTGGGTCTCCTGTGGTTATGATGAGAGACAAGTTTGAGATGCCAAGTTCAGATTTAAAAATCCAGCGCACAAGCCTGGTGTTTTGCATATCTGAGCAGTAAGATACACACTTCTATATTTGCATTCACTTTCTCTGTTACATTCATAAAATACGAATCACAGGGTCACAGGATGATTTAGGCTGGAAAGGACCTTGAAGATAATCTCTCTCCAACCACTCTGCCATGAGCAGACAGGGACACCTGCCACTGTCCCAGGCTGCTCCAGGTCCCTTCCAACCTGGCCTTGAACACTTCCAGGGATGGAACATCCACAGCTTCTCTGGGCACCCTGTGCCAGGGCCTCACTACCAAAATTAGGAAGAATTTCTTCCAAATACCTAACCTAAACCTGCTCTCTGTCATTTTAAAACCATTCCCCATCCCTCATCACTCCAAGCCTGTGTCAAATTCTTTCTCCAACTCTCTTGTAGCCCCTTAGGTACTCAAAGGTGCTTTAAGTTCACCCTAAAGCTTTTCCTTCTCCACACTGAACAACCCCAACTCTTTCACACAGCAGAGGTGCTCCAGTCCATTTTAAAGCCATCCTAGTGCACTGAAGAGCCTCTGAGGGACCCACAGATCCAGGATGGCCTGGGCCAAAGTGCAAGGAGCTCCAAAGGCAGACCCACCTGAAATAGGGGTCTCCTCCAGCCAGGTCTCATGAGCTCTTGGAGGTCCATTTCACACCCAAGATAGCTCAGCTACCTCAGAAGGCATAAAATCATCAGGATGGCTTCTGTGGCAGTGTTGGAAACAAAAAGGTTGTAATAAAAGGCAAAATAACAAAACTCTTTACAGAGAAAAACTGAGCCAGGTGCAAGAGGTCCTTGCCCCTGGTAAAACACCTCATAAAAGCAATTAGTTTCTTTATTATCTTCTTTTTCTAGTTAATTGCTCAAGCAAGATTTTTTGGCTCCTATTCAATTAGCTATCCTTAAGTTTGAAGTCCCCCAAGTCCTATGAGATGTCTTTTCACCTAATTGAGGAAATAAACTTTTAGGCTTATTTCCCCTTTAAGGGGACAAAAGATGGTTTTGTCACTCCCTCAACAAAGGGCACATTCCTATAGCCAGTCCTGGTGCCCTGCAGGGGGGTGGCACAGCAGCCTGGCCCCTGCTCTGCCCTCTGCCAGCTGCTCCATGCCAGGCTCAGGCAGAAAAGACTACACTCCAAGGTCCTGATGAAAGTTTTTTGGTGGGTTTTTTTGATGGGGAGATTTTAAAAAAGCTTTGTGTTAGGAATGAGAGATGGATGGCATTTTTGCCTTTTTCAAAAATTTTTTGGTTTTCTTTTTTATTAGAAATTTTGTATGTTGTTTATATTTTAGATTTAGTGTATTAAGAGAAGGTGTTAAAAGTTATATAGATTTAAGGTTTTTTAAAGTTATTTTGTTTAATTAATTTTGAGAATGTATTTTATTTTAATTTTTTATTAATAATAGTTTTTTGTTTATGTATGTAATATTTGTATTGTGGTATTTAAAATTAATTATTTTATGGTTTTAATATTGTAGAAAATGGATTAGATGAAAAATAAGAAGGAGATTAGATAATGTTTAAATTTTTTATTTTGTTCTTTATTTTAAAATTTATTTTAATAGTCATTAATATATTAATAATTAATTTATTAATTTACAAAATTCTATGAATAATAAGTTAATAAATAATGTTGTAATAACTATAAATTATTAAAGTATTTTTATTAATTTAATATATTTTAATTTTTATAGAAAATTTTTAATTTTAAGTTTTTTAATTTTTGATATGTCATATTATTATTTATTTTTATATATTTGTAGATTTTAATTTATTTTAAAGTTTTGGAAGCTTTTTTTATCGATGAAGGTTAAAAGTAATGGGTTTTTTGGGGATTAGGATATTTTAGGATAGGTAGAGAAATATCTTTTATGTTTTCCTTGCTGCTTGCTCTGCCTCCATGCCCACACCAGAGTAGTTTTCTGAACAAAACCAACCCTGCTCTGGAGGGCTCAGCACTGGGCTGGAAGTCACACAGGCTGGGAGCCAGGCTGGAATAAAATTTTGCAATAATGAAATAGTATTCTATGATAATGAACTAAAATGAAATAATATTCAATAATAATGAAATAGTATTCTATAATAATGAAATAGTATTCCATAAGAATGAAATAATATTCAATAATAATGAACTAGTATTCCATAATAACGAACTAGTATTCTATAATAATGAAATAGTATTCTATAATAATGAAATAAAATTATATAATATTGAAATAGTACTCCATAATAATGAACTAATATTCTATAATAATGAACTAGTATTCCATAATAATGAACTAATATTCCATAATAATGAACTAATATTCTATGAAAATGAAATAGTATTCTATAATAATGAAATAGTTATTCTCTAACAATGAACTAGTGTTCCATAACGATGCAGTGCCCCATGGGGTGGCTGGCAGCTGCTGTGTGCCCAGGCTGCCCGGGCTCCCCACCGTGCCCTTGGCGATGCAGCTGCTCTGCCCCTGCCGGGACCGAAGGGTCCTGGCAGGGAAATGAAAGGGCAGCAGCAGCAGCAGCAGCAGCGGGGAGGTGCCAGCCCAGTGCCTTAACGAGGATTTATCTGCTCTGTTTTCCAGACCCAGAGTGACAAAGTGCTGTGGACCCACATCCGATACTCAGGTGGGTGTTGGGGGGACCCTGGGGGGAGCCTCGATGATGCCCAGTGCAGCACCCACATCCCCTGGCACACTGGGAGGGCTCCCCACCCTACCACAGTCCCCAGGGACCTCCGTGGCATCCTGTGGCCCCTAAAATACCCCAATGGCTCCCAGGTGCCACAGTGCTGGCTGTTTCTTCTGACGGGGGAGAGGTGCCAGGAGAGCTGTCAGGGGAGAGGGGCCAAGCCTGCCCCAGTGCTGCAAGGGGACAAAATGAAACAGTTGGGTTTTCCCAGAGCAGGACAAAAAAGCTGAAAATCTGCGTGGATCCCTGCAGCCCTCACCTGTCTCCTAAACCACTCTTTCACTCTGTGAATGAACAAGAAAGTAATTTTTGGCAATTTACTGAATGCACGCAGCACGCTCTTGGGTTTTTCTAAAACAAGTCAATGGTTTCCTGATTTATGAAAAATGTAAATGATTTCCTCAGGAGGAGTGGGTGAGAGCACACACCATATCAGATGTGCTGCTCTGCGTGCCAGCTACACTGGAGGTTTGTCTGGTGTCACATCTCAAAGATAAAACCAAGCAGTAAAACTTTTAAAATAATACTGAAAATATTATCGACGGTTTTGCTTTCAGTTAAAAGCGTGAGGCAGCAGGGAGCCTAACCTCATAGAAACTCATGTCCTTTGGAGGAAAAGCTTGAGAAGTTTGTCCCCAGCCCAGAGGGGCTGTGCTCCCTGCCTGGAGAGCCCCTGGGTACCCCAGGGGTTTCAGCTGCTGTGCTGAGAGCCCAGGGCTGCAGCACAGAACGTGGCCAGCACAGCCTGGGAACCCTGACTCTCCATTCCACCAGAAAACCTTTCTTGCCAAGTTCCTGTTTAATTTCTCCTTTTTCTGCTCTGTATTAATTAGTTCCTTCTGCTTCTGTCTCTTTGCTGCTCTTTCATCTTTTTTTCTGGGAAAAAAAAAAACCAAACAAAAGAAGAAAAAAACACAACCAAACCCTAAGATAAAGGCTTATGTTACCAGCATCTCAACAAAAAGAAATTTTGTCATCCAGTTCTGGATGCCTTTTCCTCATCTTATTTACTGTCTCAATTTTCCTGGGTTTTTTTATGAACCTGCTCTTTCTAAACTCACAGTGATGCTTTACTTGCTGTATTTTTCTGTATTCTAAGACACAGAGTAAGTAAATTGTGCATAAATAAAAATTTGGAGGAGCAATTCACATAAACCATGTGCCAAAAGACACAGCTTAGTCAAGAGTGGTCATCTGTAAATTTCCATGGTAGATGATGTCTGGCTAGGGTGGATAATATTCTAACTCTGGTCTGTTGGATTAAGCTTTTTTTTGACTTACAGATGGAGTAACTGAGAGGTGTTTTAAAAACTTTTATTTCATTTTTAGTCTTATGCGAAGGGTGAGACAATACAGATGTTATAATTTCTGTTATTATAATTAGAAGCTAATTCTTTCTTAATTACAATATATTATAAGTGTATCTTGGTTTATTAGTTTTTGTCACATTATGTTGTAAATATTTTAAAGTTAATAATCTAAAATTACTCTTCGTGTGTTTTACTACAATTTATTTTTCATAGTTTTATTTCTCTAAAGCATTTAGTCTCATTTCAACAACTTGAAACTTGTTTCTAGTTCTATTTCTTTCTCAACAATGTTTGTCTTATTCTATGGTATTTCTAACTTAGTATTTTTTATTTCAGAGTTTGTATGCAGATGTGTGCTATGGGTGTCTCTTGTAAGGCTTTGAGAATTCTCTACAAATCTATTTCTCACATTGGTCTGCCCTGTTCTCTAGTTTACTCTCTCCCTTTTTTAAAATATTTTTCCATCTTCCCTGCAGTCAGGTGGTGTAAACTGTGAAAAATGCCAATTGCTTGTTTTTAAAATTTTTAAAGTTTAATAGTAAAAATAGTAATACAATTAGAGAAATAATAATTTGGACAATTTGGATTAGGAAAATATGAGACAACAGAAACAAAGAGTTATCGACAGTCCAGGTACCTCTTTCTAGTCAAAATAAGCCCGAAAAAAGAACCCAAGTTAACAGAGGATTAACCCTTAAAAGCAACAGCCTGTTGCATATTCATACACCTCATCCATGATGCATAAATTCCATTCAAACACAGGATTCTGTCTGGGCAGTGTCAGCTTCTTCCTCTGAATCCTGACAGCATCTTCAGGGCTGAGTGAGGCAGGAAGAAGTTCATTTCTTCTGATAAGGGAGCAATAAATTCTCTTTCTCTGAAAGATTCAGGTGTCCTGTGGCTGCTATCTCAGTGCGAGTCCTTTCTTTTAAAAAAAGTATCTCACATAGCATAGTTTGTATTTTAACCCTATGTTATAACCTAAAACTATATTTAACACACAACTTAAGAAAATTAATACAGCATCACTTTCTAACATAACACATATAATATTCACTTTAATATTTGCAAAAAGCCAATCATAAAGTACGCATTTTTCACATAAACCAGCCCATTTCCTAGCAAACATTTGTCCCCAGGGGATCACCTTTGCCTCCTTGCATTGCAGGCAGGAGCACCAGGGGAGCAGCCGTGAACCTCTCAGCGGAATCGGGGCCCATCCAGATCCGGAATGGCTCCGTGCTGGTCCCCTGTGATGGCCTCTACCTCCTGTCCCTCAGGAGCACCATCTACCTGGATGAGAAGGAGGAGGACTGGCTGAACCTGACCCTGCAGGCCAGCAGCAGTGTCCTGTGGGAGCAGATTGTGCAGAGCAGTGAGAGCAGAGTGAACCTCACCACAGTGCTCTACCTGTTTGAGCAGGACAGCATCACGCTGTGGACCAGCTCCAACGCCAGCCTCTGGGACCTGTCCCTCAGCCTGGTGTTAGTAGCTGACAGCAAGTCCTAGCTGCAGGACTGGAGCAGCACGGAAAGCACAGCCTTCCCCACCTTGCTGCAGGTTTTGGACTTGTATGGGCAGACTGCTCTAAACCCCTCCCTGGGGCTGTGGAGGGCCTGGCTGGGAGCGCAGATGAACCACAGGCTTTATATAGTGCAAGATTCGCCTCTTTGGAGCTCTGTGCAGCTGATTTGCTACCCAGGATGGATCTTCCCAACACTGGGGAAAGGGATGTGTGGAGCTCTTGAGAAGAGCAGAAATGAAAGCCAAAGAAAGTCACCCAAGCTTAGCTCATATTCAGAGAAACCCCAGGTTTCTCTATTTACTTGACAGTGTCTGTATATAGTAGAAATGTGTTGTGTTTTTTCTCAAATAAAAGTCTGGTGAGTCAGGAAGGTACCTCAAGTGTCCTGAAGCCATTTGGAGCGGGAGGAGCATGAATCTGCCTGGCAAGATGGAAAACAGGGAAGAGGCAGCAGGGAATGCCTTTGGAGTGAGCCAGATAAAGGCTGTCTGAGAGGAACAGCTGTGAGAGAAGGTGGAGTGTGGAAATGAGCTGACAGGACTGCACTGGGCAGCAGGAGCACTGACTGTGGAGTTTTGGGGAGCAGCCTTTGAGAGCAGAGCCCCACTGGCTGTTCCAGCTGTCTGCAGACTGCTGAAGCCAGAGCCCAAGGAATATCTGCTGTAAGGCCCCAGAGGAAAACCTCCTTCAAGCACACACACACACTGGCTTGACCCAAAAGTGATCCAGGCACATAAAAAGTTGGGCAAACATGGAGACTTCTGGATGTGGTGACCTCTGACAGACCAAGTGGAAGCTGCAGGTCTGAGCATCCTTTCCTCAGGGAGGACCCAGATGGTTCTCATGGCTTTGTCCCACAGGTGTGCCCCAGAGACTGGCAGGCACAGCCTCCATGGGGCACCAGGCACACCTCAGTGACCCTGGGCTGCTCATCCCTGCTCATCCAGCTGAGACAGGTCCTGCCCATGCTGCAGGCAGCCCCTGACCCCAGCACAGCCAGCAGCTGAGGGGGTTTGCTTGCAGCAAGGCAGATTTTAACCACCTGTCAGTTTTTGACTTTGTGTCTCCCAACATTTCAGTGTGTCTCTGCTGGCTGCACACCCCAAAGTCTTTTGTTAGAAGTATTTATGTATTTAAATGATGGGCATAAGAATGTTACATCAGATTGCTTAGAAACACTGGGAAGGGCTCACACCAGGTTGTCAGCACTGAACTCCTCTTTGAAAATGCTCCCAATGCTCTGGGCTGGTCCTGCTTTGCAGACCCAGACCTGGACTGACACACTCATGCTGAGCACTCCAGCAGACTCAGGTGCCAAAGGGAACTAAGGACATGCTCCAGGTCTTGGAGAGCTTTCCTGGCTTTAGGCTAAGGAGCTTCCCCACCTGGGCCAGGCCAGAGCCTCAGGGGAAGCTGGCTGAAGCACTCAACTCATGTAGTGCCAAGAGGCAGCTTCTCTCCTCTCACTGAGAAGCTGTGGCTGACTTGCACCCACAGGATGCTCATCATTAAGGGATATTTTGTGCTTTTAACTCTGGCCACACTCACCACCACGGGGACTGATGGCAGCTGCACCCTGCCCCGAGGCTGGGGATTGTCACACTCCCCAGTAGAAGTGAGAATGTGTTTCTCTTCCTAAAAATAATAAATTTTTCCTTTGCAACATTTGGGTTTGTAGTGTCCCTTGGAGGAGGGGGGAGGAGGAGGCTGGAAGTGCCTGGTGAATGATGCATTCAGGGTTTGAGCAGACACTTCCTGTGCTATGGAAACTATATGAAATTTTCACATACTTCCTTTTTTTTACAGTTCAGCTTTTGTTTCAGCTCTCCAGGAGGGTGTGCAGGGCTGGTGCTTCCCAGCATGTGCTAACACAGGGCAGGCTATGCCGGTGGTGTGTGCAGGGCTGCACAGCACAGCAAGAAAGATGAAGCCTGGAGAGCACAAATGGATTTGTTCTCTGGAAGGCTGCACCCTTTCTTCTTGTTTACAGCAGGAGAGGGCATTTCCCTCACTGATCCCCCTGCACCTCCAGGCTGAACTGGACTGACCTATTCTATACAAACACCTGCACTTGCCTTGAAATACAGGCTGGAATGATTCAACACCCAGCATTGATTGCTTGATGGACTGACTGTCCTCATCAGTAAGTTTCCATGCCCTCAGCTTTTGTTTGTATCCAAAGACTACTTTCTTCCACTAGGTTAAAAGTCTCTTTTGTTGAGTTTGTTGTTGCTGAAAAGGCTCCTGAGGTGTTAAAAAGTCTTTTTTCCCAGCCCCGTGCTTGAAGAAGTCGAGATTCCTCAGCTCTGGTTCTCAAGGTTGTTTATTTTCCCTTATCTGTTCCATTCTTTCTCTGACCTGCTGAGATCTGTCCACCAGGTCGGGTTGTGGCACAGTCCCTGCCCCTGGGGTGGTGTTGGCTTTTTATACTAAGAACTACAGGTACTTTATTTACAATAATTTTCCAATACCCATCACCTATGTTAGACAGTCTGTCTCTACTCTAAACGAATCAAACAGTGTCACCATCACAGAAGAAGATGGAAGAGAAGAAGAAGACGAAGAAGATGAAGAAGAAGATGAAGAACGAGGAGGAGGAGGAGGAGGACAGGACACTCCCAGATTCCTCCATCTTGCCTCTTGAACCCCCATTCTAAAAACCCCAAAATTCTACTTTTTCACCTTCTACTCAAACTCTTGTGGCTTGTAACTCTTCACACAAAGTTTTTTCCATGGAGTAAAATCAAAGGCACAGGTGTTTTTGACTCTGTGCCAAGGTCTCTGAGCCCCTTGCCAGGGTCTCGAGCCATCCAGGGCAGCCAGAGGAATGTCCTGGGTTCCGACACTCTTGGTATGAGAAACATCAATTTTTGTTACTGGGGTTGTCAAGACCTTGTAGGAGCTCACAGGTGGTGCTTGAGTCCCACCTTACAGCTCTGTTCAGCCAGGCAGTGCCCCCAGGGTTTGGGTCACCCCTTGAAGCCGGGGCTGGGGAAGTGCAGGGCTGTTCCTGGGGACAATCCCTGACTGCAGAGGGGCAGCACATTCATTTTCCTGTGCTTGCAGTCACAGAAAGGGGCTTGTGGTGTGTCCTCTGTGATAGATGAGTAACACAATTAACAGACAAATATCATGTCTATAGGTTAAGAAAAGTTTTGTAGATTTATAGTCCTGTTTTACCCCTTGCATGGCTATCAAGGGACAGCCTGGGTTTGGGACATCTGGGAGGGTCAGCTTGTCACTATGGCAAAACCTGACCTCCAACCAGGATTTGAGGAAGTGATCTCCATCACTGGACAGTGAAGAAGGGGTCAATGGACAGAACTTTGGGAGGGCTAAAGGCTTAAAAGGTGAAACCTCCCTTGTGTGGATGAGCACATGGTGGGAAAAATCCTAGGGTATTTTCTCTATTCAGTCTTCTGTTGTATTTCTGATAAGGTTAAATAAACCTTTTGTGAAAAACGCCAATCACTTGTTTTTAAAATTTTTAAAGTTTAATAGTAATAAAATGGTTAGAAAAATAGTAATAGAGTAATAAAAATTTGACAATTTGGATTAGGACAATATGAGACAATAAAAACAGAGTTACTGATGGTCTGGATACCTCTTTCTGGGCAGCATAAGCCTGAAAAAGGACCCACATTAAAAGAGGATTAACATGAGTCAGAAATTCTTTTCAAACAAAGGGTGTTCTCTGGTTATTGTCAACTCCCCCCTCATCTTGTAAATCAGTCATCTTGGTCCCCACCAAGTCTGGTCTTTCCCAGTAAGGAGGCAATAATTCTTCTGTTGGGGATTTTGCTGTCTTGTTGTTGTTATCTCTGGGTGAAGAATTCCTTGAGCTAGTTAGAAAAAGTATCTTACATCACACAGTTTCTATTTTAATATTATGTTATAGCCTAAAATGATATTTAACACACTACTGAAAAGGATTAATACAGTATAACTTTCTAACATAACACATATAATATTCATTTGTATATTTGCGAAAAGCCAATCATATAATATGCATTTTTCACACCACTGTCTACTCCCTCCCTTCTCCCTCTCCTTTCCTGTGAAGAATGCCAATCACTTGTTTTTAAAATTTTTAAAGTTTAATAGTAATAAATTGGTCAGAAAAATAGCAATGTAATTAGAGTAATAAAATTTGGGCAATTAGGATTTAGGACAATAGGAGACAATAGAAACAAAGAGTTATGGACAGTCCAGGTACCTCTTTCTGGGCAAAATAAGCCCTAAAAAGGACCGAAGTTAAAAGCAACAGCCTGTTGCATATTCATACACCTCATCCATGATGCATAAATTCCATTCAAACACAGGATTCTGTCTGGGCAGTGTCAGCTTCTTCCTCTGAATCCTGACAGCATCTTCAGGGTTGAGCCAGGCAGGCAGAAGTTCATTTCTTCTGATAATGGAGCAATAAATTCTCTTTCTCTGAAAGATTCAGGTGTCCTGTGGCTGCTATCTTGGTGGGAGTACCTCATTCCCCTCTTTTTAAGAAAAGTATCTTCCATAGCATGGTTTCTATTTTAACTTTATGTTATAATCTAAAACTATATTTAACACACTACTTAAGAAAATTAATACAGCATCACTTTCTGACATAACACATATAATATTCATTTGAATATTTGCAAAAAGCCAATCATAAAATAGGCATTTTTCACATTTCCCAAATCTCCTGGGTGACCTTAAGGGTGACAAAGCTGCTGTGAGAGCCACGGCCACCCCTGGGGGAGAAGGAGCTACTGAAGGTGAGGCAGAGCAGAATGGGATGGAGGCTGCCTCTCCTTACACCAGAAATGAGGGGAAACATTCACAGTCCACTCACACCTGTGTGCAAACGACCTCATTTTCTACCACATAGGTAGTAATAGTGGCCTAATGAGCCTGTGTGTTTTCAGACACCGTTTAGGTTTATGTTTAATCAGCCAGTGTGAGTCACAGCTGTTGCCTGTCAGCTGCACTGGAGAGAAGAAGAAAGCCATGGTGTGCTTGGCAAAGTGCAGCTGGCTGCTGCTGCTCTAGAGCCAGCACTGTGCAGCTCAGGCAGCAGAAAGCACAGGAATTTCATTTCCTTATTCAACATCAAAATGGGAAAGTATGACAGAGACTCGAGCAGCTTCCTGCACTAACTAATTGGGAAGGTTTGACTTATGAGACTTTTCTCAGTAGCATCGCTAACTTCAGAGCTGTTCTCTGAGCTGGCAGTTGGTTCCTGTTTTCCAAGAGATCCAGACCATCCCCAGAGATGCTTGCTTCCAGCTATGGGGTAATAATCCACCAAAATAAGCAAATTGAGCAACACACACACTGAGGGCTGGGAGGAGTTGGTGCCAGGCCAGAAAAGAACAGTGGTGAAAGTAGCAGAAGGATTTATCTGCAGCCTTCTGTCCCCGAAGGCCAGGGAGGATCTGGAGGCTGTTTGCTCATATTCTGAGTGGATGAGGAAGGCAGCTGAAGGCTCAGTTCTCCAAGCAAATGAGTAAATCTGTTAAGGGCTAGAGAGCCAAGCAAGCAGAGTGGAGGCTGGGGGCACATCTCCCCATGGAGATGCCAGTAAGGCAAATTTCTGGCAGCTGTTCAGCATCCCAGAGCAGAACACACCCCCCAAACAGGGCTGGGAGAGGCTCCCTGTGCCCCCTGCACCAGGAAGGAGGAGCCTGAGGATGAGAAAACCCCCAGGGCAGGGCAGGAGAGGACAGTGGGGCTGGCTGACCTGTCCCAGGGGAGCAAGGACACTAGGCACAGAGCCCAGGCAAACACAGGGAGGGAGCGCTCAGGAGAGATGTGAAGCTGGTAGGGGTCCATGGACTGACTGTCCTTAGGACTTTAGGAATGTAGGACAGTCAGAAGGCAGGACTGAAGCAGTGTTTCTCCTGTAAGCTCACTCTCAGTGAACCAA